CACACGGGTTTAAGTGCATAGACACAAGGCTCACACGGGTTTAAGTGCATAGACACAAGGCTCACACGGGTTTAAGTGCATACACACAAGGCTCACCAGGGTTTAAGTGCATAGACACAAGGCTCACCAGGGTTTAAGTGCATACACACAAGGCTCACACGGGTTTAAGTGCATACACACAAGGCTCACACGGGTTTAAGTGCATAGCTCATGGGAACACACATGACACGCTGACTATGAGGAGAGGCCACACCAGCAGGAGGAAGCAACTCCACAGAGACTTGGGCAATGAGTCTCACCAGGGTCTTCTCAGTTCTCCCTGGTCACAAATTGGAAAGAAGGCAGTGGGCAGAGCACGTTCCTCCCATCTTCCTTCCTGTGGGGATGTTACATCATGGAATCCCACAGCAGGCTGAACCACCCAGGTGAGTGAAGCCAAAAACGCACCCCATCCCTACCTATGCAAGTAGCAAAAAGGGCGGGAACTTGAACAAAATATATGACTATTGAAGCAACAAAGAAGCAGAGATATATAAGGACTAGATAACAATGACACGGATAATCAAAAGTCCATTTTGATGGGAAAGAATCATTTAATGCTCATTTTCATCTCACTACCTATATGTATCTCTGTAGGCATTTTATCACAACAGTTCCCTAGGCAGGACCTATTACTGTCCCCATGTTACAGAGCTTTAGCAGAGGAAGAGCAGGGTGTGGGCTGACTAAGCTCTTTGAGAGAGATCTTTTCTGTTTTCTCCAAGCATGAGGTCTGACCACACTGATGACACATAGGAAGTGTCTCTTGGTGAGCGGATGAGTATGGATGGACCAATAGTTGGATATGGATGGATGGAAAGATGCCTGACAGCCGATATTAAGATCAAATGCACAGTCAGAAACAATTATCAAGTAAGATGTAGTTCTATAGACTAGGGTGAACAAAGATGTGGGGAAGGAAGGCAGAAGGGAAGGCTGGGAAGAGAAACGAGAGACGGAGTGGATAGTGGAAACTGAGAAAGAATCTCCGCATCCCCAAGGAGTTCTTGTGTTATCTAGAATTAAACTTAGCACAATTTATGAGTGTGCCCTATCTCCTGCAACAGGGCCAAGGCAAGTGTGTTCAGGCCTGTCATGCCTCCCCTAGCCCTGCATTAAAAAAAAAAAAAAAAAAGATCTGTATCCACAGGAACTGGGATAACAGCTCCCTTCACCAAGTCTCTTTCCGGGAGCAGCTGGGCCACCCAGATCTCATTCCACTCTCATAGCAAGCTTATAAGGCCAGCTCTTCTTGATCCCTGTGCAGATGATGAGGACGGAACTCGTGGGACCTAAACAAGATGCCCACGGTCACAAAAAGTGATTGAGATTATGAGGTAAGGACTCCAGGCTACCAAAGGCCATGCTCTTAACCAAAGATGATGTGGGCTATGTGAAACCTGAAATATGCACACATACATGTATACATGCATACATACACACATACGTGTATACATGCATGCATACATACATGCACATGCATAATTTACTTTTACTGCTATTTTTTCTTGTTTCTTTGAGATAGATTCTCACTGTGTAGCTCAGGCTATCCTGGGACTTGCTGTGTAGACCATGCTGGCCTCACACTCAGAGAAATCTGCCTGCCTCTGCCTTCCAAGTGCTGGGATTAAAGATGTGGGCCCTCAACCGCATCTGACTTAATTTGTCTGTGTGTGTGTTAAGGGTGCACATGCGGAGACTTTGGAAGCCAGAAGCACAGGTGGGTGTGGGCTGCCCAACATGGGTGCTGCAAACTGAACTCAGGTCCTCGGCAAAAGTGATGTGTACTCTTTTTTTTAATATATATATATATTATTTTTAAATTTAAATTAGAAACAAGGTTGCTTCACATGTCAATTCCAGGTCCCTCTCCGTTTCCCTCCCCTCCTCCCGTGCCCTCCCACCAACCCCCTCAATATCCCCTCATTTCCCCAGGGAGGGTGAGGCCCTCCATGGGGGTGTCCATAGTCTGTCATTTCATCCAGAGCAGGGCCCAGACCCTCCCCCAGGAGTTCAGGGTGAGAGTGCATCTCTCATTGTTGGATGGGAGTCCAAAGTCCATTTGTATACCCGGGATGAATACTGATCTACTACCCAAGGCTCAATAGATTACCTAGGCCTCCTCACTGACACCCACATTCAGAGGGTCTTGATCTGTCCCATGCTGGATTCCCAGGCATCAGTCTAGAATTCAAGAGCTAATCCTTGTCAGGTCACCTGTTTCTGGGTTAAACCAGCCCAGTCTTAATCCCTTTGGTCATGTGATCTGTACTCTTAACTGAGCCATCTCTTCAGCGCTGAAGCTTATATATTCTGAAGGTGTGTGTGTGTGTGTGTGTGTGTGTGTGTGTGTGTTCCTACAAAAATAAAACTACGACAATGTGAATATTCTGCTGGGACCCACTAGATGGCTGTGGTGGTTTGAAAGAAGGTGGCCCCCAAAGGAAGTGGCACTATTAAGAGGTGTGGCCTTGTTGGAATTAGTACGGTCTTGTGTCACTATGGGGGTGGTCTTGTGTCACTATGGGGGTGGGCTTGTGTCACTATGGGGGTGGTCTTGTGTCACTATGGGGGTGGTCTTGTGTCACTATGGGGGTGGTCTTGTGTCACTATGGGGGTGGTCTTGTGTCACTCACTATGGGGGTGGGCTCTGAGGTCTTTTCCTCTAGCTTCCCTCTCAGTGTGACATTCAGTCAGCTTCCTGCTGGCTCCAGCTCCGCATCTGTCTGCATGCTCCCCATCGTGAAGATAATGGACTGAACCTCTGAGCTGTAAGCGAGCCACCTCCAAGTAAATGTTTTCTTTATAAGAGTCGCCTTGTCATGGTGTCTCTTCACAGCAACAGAAACCTAAGGCAATGTCCTTAGAAGGGGCTGCATAAGTGAGGGGTACAAAATTCAAGCTTGGGCAGTGGCTCTGCCTCTGAACTTGACATACTTGGGAGGGAGAGAGGGAAAAGGGGGAAGGAAGGCGAAAGTCTGTTGAAGGGGAGAGGAAAGGATAAGTAAGGAGTCAAAGGTAAGAGAGGAAAAGGGAAACGCAAACAGGAAATCTTAAGGGAGAGGTGGGGGGCTGGGGTATAGTTCTGTTGGGAGAGGGCTTCCACAGCACTCACAAAGACCAGGGTTTGATCCCCAGCACCGCATAAACCAAAAGTTACGGTGCACACCTTATTCTCAGTATTCAGGAGGTAGAGACAAGGAGATCTGAAGTTCATGTCATCCTGAACTAAAACAGAGAGTTAGAGACCAGCGTGACAGCAGACCCTGTACCAAACCCACACCTACACCCCCAGGAAAGGCTGAGGCTTCCCACAGAAGATGGGGTACAGCTTTTAGCTGTTTGCACCAGGCACCTGGGGAGGCAGACCTGTTTTCTGCAGCCGGAGTGCCTCCATCTCTAAGCTGTGCGTTTCCCTCCCTTGAGAATCGCAGCAGCCTACCCAATCCTGCCCTTGCACCTCCTTCCCAGGCTTCTGCAACCGGTTCCCAGACTCATCTGGGAGCTGGGGCCAAAGGCAGAGCAAGAAGTGCTGAGTCATCATTGTGCCACCAGCTTTGCCCTGCGGCAATCCTGCCCGGCAGCTGCCTGACACATAGGTCAGACAGGAATCAAACAAGGAAGGCCTAGCTGCAGGTGGCCTGCTGGCCCCTCACTGCCCCACTGCTGAAAGTCTCCTTTGAAAAGAAGGGGCCTGTCTAAAGAAGATCTTATATTGCCCCAAACTTCTTGTCCCAAAGGTCTTTGCTCTGGGTTGGGGAAGAGCAAGAGCCTCATAGACTCTGCAAGCCCAGAAGACCTATAGGTTGGCCTCAGATGGAACCAAGGCTCTTCAGCATTGACCATAGCTGTGGGCCGTCCAACCCCACTATACATCCAGAACAAGCAATCAGACACCTCTGCAGCGTCTGAATTCCAGCCCATTTGCCTGCCTGGCAGTAGGAGAGGACCCAGGCTACAGCCACTACTTTTCTTCTGTCAGAAACTTCTTCATCATCCTCAATGGTCAAATACAACAAAATGTTCTCTGTGAGGTTAACGTGAGAATTAAAGAGATGACGCATAGGAGCACGTTGCTAAGGGAAGAGACAAGTCATATGGCTGATGGCTCTTCCTGGAGAATCCTGGAACTCACTCTGTAGACTCGGTTGCCCTCGAACTCACAGAGATCCGCCTGCCTCTGCCTCCCGAGTGCTGGGATTAAAGGTGTGAGCCACCAATGCCCGGCTTTCTTTGTTTTTCGAGACAGGATTTCTCTGTGAAACAGTCCTGACTGTCCTGGAACACACTCTATAGACCAAGCCGGCCTCAAACTCACAAAGATCTACCTGCCTCTGCCTCCCAAGTGCTGGGATTAAAGGTGTGTGCCACTACCATCAGGCCACAATCTACATTTTTAACTTGTATGTGAGTCTGTAACTGACCAGGTTCCCTTCAGCTGTTTGGTCTGATCCCAAGATTCCACTTTTTACAGCCCCTAGTAGGATTGGGGAGGGGTTCCAACCATCCCAGGTGGCAGGACAGGAATCAGAAAAGGCCTGGCCCTAGCTACACTGGCAGAAAGTTCACTAGCCCCACACCCCACAGCATGACCTGGGTCCAGGGAATGACAGCAGACGCATCTTTAAGGAAGAGACCTGCATGGACTCCCCAATCCAGCAATGAACCCTCCCAACTTCCTGCAATCCCAAACAAAAGTGTGTGTGTGTGTGTGTGCATGCACATGCGCATGCACACACACACACACACACACACACACACACACACACACACACGATGAGAAGGTAGAGGAAAGAGAAAGAAAAAGTTGTCTGCCATCACCTAGTTTCAGCCCGCCCTCCCGCCCTCCTGCACTCCTGGTTGGCTGGAAGGCATTCAAGAGGGCAGGCTTTTGTAAAGCCTTAAGTGAGTCACCTGTTCTAAGGTTGGCAGATTACTCCAGGTGTTGGCCCAGCCCTTAAAACTGGGTGGCATGTTGCAAGACAAATAATCATTCCTGTTTGGCAGCTTCACCTGTTGGGTTGTAGGAACTGACCAACCGGAGTCCCCAAGTCACGCCAAGATACAGTGGCAGGAGGTAGCTGCCTCGCTGAAGGGAGAGCATGCTGGCCATCAGGGAACAAGGTCAGCCTTGCACTTGGGCCTCCTCTGACCAGTGCTGACCGGGATTTCCTGACCTACTGGCTCTTTCAAGGACCCCTCCTGCTGCCTTGAGTTGCAGATCTCAGCTCCAGGCTGTAAGAAAATTGGGAGGATTACCAAAGCGGCATGGTGAGTCTCGGGCCTTCGGGCTGGGGAGGGCAGCTGTCCATAAAGGGCTCTTCAAGTAGCCTGTGGGATCATTAACGGAGAATGTTGTGGCACCTTCCAGGTTAAAAAAGAGGTCACAACGGAATCACCTCCACTCCTAGCCCTTGTGACCCTCAGCCATCCTTGAAGGTGGGCACAGAAATCAGGGCTGTCTTTGTCCACCAATAGCTTCTAAATCATGCCCGTTCCTTTGCGTACTGTCTGGATTGTGTTTGCTGGAGGATGCCACGGTTTCTTCAAAGCAAGGCGGCCCCTCAGACACTCCCTTAGAAGAATGACTCCTGTCCTTTTTTAAAGAACACGGTAAAGAGATGCCCCAAAACAATCAGGGATGTTTGTGGAGCCTTCTGCTGGGTGTCTTTAGTGCTCTCCTCCTTTGAGTGTCCCAGCATCTTCTGCTGCTGGCTTGACCTTTTAAGGGGGACAAATGAAGTCCAGGACTGGGAAGAGATAATCACCAGGTCTAAGGTGGGAGCCAGTGGGTCTTGATTCCCCAATCCTCGGCAATTGCTCAAGCACTGAAGCCAAAGGGTTGGAGAAAGATGCAGCCCAAGCAAAGGGTATTTGACACCCAAACACTTCCTATGACCCTCTAGTAAAAAGTCCAGCTGAGGGCGGAATGGCAGAACCGCTTGCTGTAGTGGACCAAGGCTGAGACTGAAGTACCAGCTACCTGCTACCGGGTCAGACACGGTCCTGTGCGGTGAGGCCCCCACAGAGAGGTTCAGGGGGGAAGAGCCGAGCAGTGTCAGCTTCCTGACTGTGAGCCGTTGCCGAGGGGCACTGTGGAGCCCTGGGGTGCCTCTTGGAGAAGCTGCTGGCCAGGGTGCCGTTTCGGAGGCAGCTAACAGAAACAAAACCTGTCATACAGCCCATGACCAGGGGGCTAGCTCCCAGTGAGGTCCTGAGACTTGACACAGAGTCTCCACCCCTGTAGAAGGAAAACAGTGTGGTCCACAAAACCAACATGGGAGAATGGGCTCTGTAAGCCAGGAAGCCTGAGCAAAAGTAAGAACTGTGACTACCAAAGAACCCACTCCAGGAAGTGACAGCCAGGACGATCTCACCCTGCCCCACTGCCAGCAACAAATGAACGCGGGATGTTGCTGATAAAGGGGAAGGCAGGCGGGCATGGGTGCATGGTCAGGCCAAGGAGCATGAAGCAGAGGCAGGCAACATGACATGGTCTTCGGGAGAGAACTGCCAAGACTTGGGCTCTGAGCAAACCACTAAGCTACCTGTGTGTAACAATCTGTTCTTTCCTACTGATGAAGCCAGGATGTGCCTAGCTCCCAGACCACAAGAGAGGATGGGGTAACCCAAGGCCAGACTCAGCCTGCCCTGCTCCTCTGTCCTCCTGCCTCTCCCTGTCAGAGCTGGTCAAAGTCCACATAGAGCAGCCTCTTAACAACAGTTTCCCTTGAGTTTATTCTGCTGCTTATGTTGAGGAAGAGCTAGAGCAGGCCACCAGTCCTGGGCAGAGGAAGAGCCTAGTGCCTAGCCTGGATAGGAATGTGCCATATGTACTCTGAAGCTGAGACCAGAAGGAACCTTGGGACCCCAAATAGCCATCCTGGCCAGACCTATTACTGCTCAGAAAGTCCTAAGCACACCACAGCCAAAGATGAGGGCATTATATTTAAGCAAGGCAAGGGTGGCAATGCCCGAGATCAGTTTCAGTCCTTCCAGGTGCCCCCCCATCTCCTTTTCTGCCAACCTATGCAGTCCCAAAGTATTTGGTGAGCTTGCCTGGGGGACTGTAGCAAACGAATAGACCAGCCCGCTGGCAACAGAGGCTGGGTAGCATGGGGAGGACCCCGCCCCTCCAGACTGAGGTACAGAACCCAGGAGCCCTCCACTCTGGGGATGTCATTCTTGGCCTTGGGGTGGCAAATTAAGACTTGGGCAGTAGACAGAGCCTGGTGAAGAACCAAGAAAGAAAGCTCTCTCTTCATGTCTGCTTCCCTTCCCCAGCTCCCTCTCTACCCAGGTAAGAGAACCTGATGTCACTGGTTCCAGGTAGCCAGATACTTATAAATAATCCACCCTGGCCAATGACCAGCTGCTTGGCAAGGGGTTGGGGTGTTGAGACAACGTCTGGGTGCTACCTCGGAGGCACTCACAAAAGAGAGATTACAAGGTACTCCTGAGCCAAGAGGCAGGTCTCTCCAGGGTGGCTGGATGCTATCCCAGAAGAGGAAGTGCTTGCTTTGGCCTTCTGGAAGGATGAGCCAGTTCTCTCCAGGGCGGAGAAGCCAGGAAGGGTGTCTATACAGAGGGAATTGCCTGAGATGAGCAAGATAGAACGGTGGTACAGGGACAAGGGACAGCACACTATGGCTGGAACAATATGGTTAGGGAGCAGAGAGGTCACAGGACGAATGCAGTCTGACCCCCTTATCAGAGAACTCAGCCTCGGGGTCTCCCCCTGACCATAGTTCAGAAGACAAGGCTGGAAAAGGGCCCCAGTGGCCACTAACTGAGTAGCCTCCCTCCGAAGGACCATGTTCCCCGCCAGGCAAAACCACAGTATCCATTCCTTGTACAATAGCACAGCCTACCTCATCAGCCCTAGGCCCTAGAAATGCCCTGGGAGGTGGGAGCATAGAGAGTCATCAGACAGTCACACCAGGGGCAGAATTCACTGTGATGCCGCCTGAGGCTGGGTTAGGGAGCCTAGAGAGCCAGGGTTAGAGAAGGCTGGGCAGGAACGGGAGCTGCAGAATGGTGAGCAGCTGGAACTGAGAAGGGACTGATAGAAGGAGAGATGAGAAAACAGACCCCACACGGGCCTCAGAAAGTCTGGGCAAGCTGCCCAAAGCCCGAGGACCACTGGAGGCACATGTCCTCAGGCCTCAGATTGCCCAGGTTCCTCTTCTGTCCAGCCTTCCATCTTGCCCCGATGCAAACATCAGCCTTAATAAAGCACTGCCCTTCCTGGTGACTCCTAAGACAGTGAACTCCCCAAGCCTGAAATGTACTTCAGACAACCACCACCAGACTACGAGCTTCTGGGAGACAAGGACCATCTTCCCACCTTCTTAACCTCAGACAGCACAGACCTGAAATGGGACAGGCCCCCCAGGTGAATGTACCTGAGTGAGTGAGTGAGTGAGTGAGTGAGTGTCAGTTAGTACATCAGTGCATGAGTAAGTAAGGAGTGAATAAATGACAGATAAATAACCCAAAACCAAATCCCTTGTCACCAGATTCTAATCTAGGTGATACAGAAAGAAAAGTCACCAAATCCAACTTTTAGAAAAAAATTGCCCAATCCTATCAGAAATGAAAGTATTTTTTACCCTGAAAACCGAAGCTGAGGGTGAGGGAAGGGCAGGCCTGAGCCTGCTAGGAAACCCCAGCAACAGGAAAAGGGAGAGTCTAGAGAGACAATGTGGCAATCCCCCTGTGATGCATTTCGCTGCACCACCCAGCCTGCCACTCTGAGTAAACATTACGGTTGCAGCAGAGAAACTGGTAAACAGAACTCAAACTGCAACACCCTCTCCTCCCAGCCTGCTCTTTGGCCTCTCATCTAATCCACATGCAAATGGAAATTCTTAGGTGGCAGGTGAAATAACACGTTCTGGAGGAAGTGAGTGACAGATTGGAGTGGCCCATCCAGGGTGCAGTGGGGTCTATGGTCACGGGGTATGATGCGCACCAGGCTGGTGGGGCGGAGATGCCCCATGCTTTAGTGCCCTGGGTGTGGTCTCATCCCACTATAGCCTGCCTGCACTAGTTTCTCCGCTACTCCTCTGGGATCCTAAGCGTCTGCCACAGACTAGTTTCTAAAAAGACCCTGGGAGGCCGGGAGAAGATTCAAGCGCTAGGCCCCGGATTCCAAGCCTGCAAGAAGGAGCAGGTTCAAGCCAGACTGCTCCCCTCATCCCAGGCAGAACACGGCCCTCCTTCCACACAGATGCCAACAAGAAGGGAGCAACCACTGCACCTTCCTCAAGGAAGTAACTGGGACACCTTTGCCCCACTGCCATGCTGACACCAGAGACATCCCCACTGGCCCATCCTGAGGAGCTGGAGTCCCTGATGTCTCACAGTCACAGCAACTGACCTCCCATCTCTAAGCTGATGCAAGAAGCGCAGCCCCTGTGGTCAAGTCACTCTGATGTGCAGTGTCTCCCTCTGAGTGACACCAGCGCTCTTAGAATTAAAGCTCTTAGAAATTAGGAGATGAAGGCACAGAGAAATCGAGTTGAAGAGATCACTCTGCCTCTCAGCGGCAGAGCTGAGACTCCCAGCTCTGGAGGTCTCTTCATCTCCCTCGGGTTGCAGACCGACGGGGCCAGCATGCGGTGTACCCTGAGCCACTATGGGACTGGGGTACCCCATTTCACTACCTCCATGCTGCTGGGCTTTACAGCAAAGGTGCATGAAGTGGGGACGCTAACACAAGAGGACAGAGGACGGGCAGGGGGTTCTGCAGAGACTCTAACCGCGCCCCCAAGATACCAAAGATCACGGCAGTGGGGCCTCAGAGGAGCGACATACACAGGAGGAAGCCCCTGGGCATGATTAACCGGAACCTTCAAGAAGGCTGGGACAAAGTTTCACAGCCAGACTGCTCAGGAAAAATTACCCATATTGCCATGAGACCATTAAGGAGAGAAAACATTTAAAACCAAGGCCCATATGGGGGTTCCCACCTGTAATCCCAGCATTCTGGAAGCTGAGGCAGATGGATTGTGGTGAATTTGAGACCGGCCTAGGCTTCCGAGCAAGTTTCAAAAGAGAGGATGATTAGTACACCAGGCCGCAGACTAGTCTTAACTGACAATAGAGGTTGCTAGCCAGCAGCCAGCAGTTCCAGGTCACAGACTCTTGGGCAAGGACCTATGAGGCCCTGTGTAATCTGGCCTCAGAGCCCCTACTGAAATCCAATGCAGGATTCCATAAGCAAAGTAGAAAAACCAGAGTGCCAGCATTGGGAAGGACTGTGGCCTCACCTCTCCTGTCCCATCTACCCATCCCCAGCACTGATGGGACTCTGCCTGGTAACCACGGATACTAGAAGCCACTTCCAGGCCTACCTCTGTCTGCTTGAGGAACTCCTGCACGGCCCAGCTCCTACTCACAGACACGTCCCCCCTCCCCCCTTATAGGAAGTGCTTCTAGCTGCAACAATCTTCCCTCTGCCAAGAGAGCTCTGAGGTACCCCGTTTGTCTCTTTGGCATCTTCTTGAGATGGTTTGAGTGGCCATGTTTGCTCTGTCCTTCTGTCTGTCTTTGCATCTCTGACCCGCATGTGCTACCTTCTCCTCAGAGAACAACTGATGTCATTCAGTTCAGGTCACCTACCTGCCTTGGTTACTCCCCATGGATGCTCTTGAGCCACAGTCTACCCTCCTGATGTCAGACTCCCGGGCCTGTGAAGCCCAGAATAGCTGTCCAGCTCCTGTCATACCCATGCCAGATGCTCTTACCAGTTAATAATGAATAATTTCCAAGTTTCTACTTTGTCGGGTACTTGCCGGATTCTATGTAAATAGTGTTAGCAATTATTAAGAACAGGCTATCTGCTCAAAGGCACAAGAACTCTGCCTCTTATCCATAGCTGGGTCTCCAGCCCCTGAACAGTAACTTTCTGATTGAATAAAATAGTATCATTGCAGTTAACAGTTACTGCATTCTGCTCCAGGCAATGCACTGTAGGCCATGCATATGTGGGGCTTATTAGGAGGAAGACTTATTGAAAACTAGTCTCTCCCTCCCTCCCTCTCTCTCCCTCTCCCTCTCTCTTGCCCCTCCTTCTCTGTCTTACACACACACACACACACACACACACACACACACACACACACACACACCTGAGGTTCTCAGTGGTCAAACAACTTATGTACAGAGGTGGGATTTAGATCCAGGTGGCAGAATGTCAGGGCCTGTGCTCCTCCATTCACTGCCAAAATGGCTTTTTTGCAGTGGCATCACAGCGAGGAGAACCTTCCAAAGCACTTGCAAAGTTACATGAGTGGGCAGGAAAGTGGGAGGAGAACGCCAGCTTATGCAACATCCAAGTAATAATGTAGAGAGGTCCCGGAAGCACCATCAGAACGCTATTTATAGGCTCCTAAGTTCAGAGTTCCCAGGAAAGCCATCAAGGAGTCACCAAGTCTTTTGTGAGCAGATCAGCAGCAGCTAACCTTGTGTACAGAGGCAGCTGTCCCTGAGGCATCCAGAACAAAGCAGACTGCTCCCTTCTGCCCTTGGGGAGAACCTCGTTGTTGAACCTGAACCATGTGACAGGACAGAAGCCAGGCTAGCACATCTGCTTAGAAGAACAGTCACAGAGGACCCCACCCCCACCAGAGCCTCTGAGACCCTTCAGACCACAAAAGTCAACCAAGGGGACCGAGATCACGAGAGGTCCTGATGAAGTCCCGATGGGCTTGGAAAGGCGCCTGGCACCCAGCAGGTGGAGTGTTTCTGCGGAGCCCGTCAGTCATGTCAGGAGGTTAGATGTGTACCCACATTGCAAAGGGAGAAGCTGGGTCCAGGAGATGCTGAGAATTGTCCAAGGTTGTTTAGGAGCTCAGTAGAGGACCCAGGCCCTCTACAGCAAACCCCCTCTTCCCTTACCACCACTTCAGGACAATTCAGGACAAGCCAAGGCAGTCTGATTTTTAAAGACAGCATCAACTCCGTGGAATTCTTTAATAACCATCAGACTGCACTGCCGGCGGCAGCTATCTGGTTCTGATAAACACAGTGTTTAGAGAACTCATCTAAGCTCTGGTCCTCGCCAGCAGCAAGCGCCCAAGCCACCTTCTTTTAAATCTGACCCTGCCAGAAGGAGAAATTGGGCACAAGAATTCTGTGTGGACCTGGGCAAAATACAATAGTCAAGAATTCAGAAATGCAGGAGAGAATGGACTACAAGGGAAAGCTCACAACAGTGCCACCTGGAGCATAGAACCTCCCTGGGAAGCCAGAGTGTCTACAGTCAGCTCCCCCCAGGAGGCCTGTACTAGTGCCTCACTCCTGGCCTTCTTATTGTCCTGCCATCTAGGTTAAGGGCAGAGAGCTTATAAGCCCTGTACCACCACCCATGAAACAGGGGTCCTTGCCTCTCTGCCCTCCCCAGGCCCTACCTGCAGTTAAGAGCCTTGCTGTAACACAAAAGTTGATTCTTCACTGATAGAACTAAACAGGGCTGGCAGCAGGATAGAGGTGGGTCACCTGACACCTCCCTCCCGCCCCAGGCCTTGCCCCATAGCTATTATACCTTGGAATGGGGGTGAGGTTCTCAAATTGCCAGCAGGTCAACACCTATGTGGTTTATTACAAGGCTGAGGTTAGGTTAAAAGAAAGCATACTGCTGTGAGGATGCCTGTACCGGCACCAACGGTACAGGCTGCTGTTCCTGTATGTGAGAGCTAGTGCCTACTTTGTTTTGCTGGGTAGACATCCTGAAAGCAGAGTCCCAGGACAGGGACTGCTTGGAACCATCATGGCTGTTGCCACTAAAACCCTGGGTGCACTTTAAGCTGTTGTATTGCAGAAACCCCTCCCTGGCCCCATGATGAAGTGCCCCTCTGTAACCCCTCCTTGCCACCTTACCTGGCATTGTGGAGGCACCCAAGAGACAGGGTCCTGTTTCCAGCCTGATAAAGGCATCAAACTGCCTCCCTGGCTGCAGGCGGGAAGCAGATGCCTGCTGCCAGTGGGACTGAGGGTTCAAGCATCAAAGTGGCTTAAGGCCACCTGGAGAGCCCCCTGAGCTCCTGAGCTAGCTACGGCCAAGACTTGCTCTTCTTGCTAACTGTGAGCAGCCTCGGGTCTCCTGGCTCACTGAAGGAGCAGTCCCCACCCCTCCCTGGGGTGCCCCTGTCACCCTGTCACTGGCCTCAGTGCCTAACTATATAAGCTAAGAGCCCCACAGGGTCTGTTTACCCATTGCCTGGTAACAGCAGCGTCTTTGGCTTCAATGTTTCCCTCTGGGATCAAGCAAAGCCAGAGCCCTCCTCATGAGATCCCAAAGCTGCCGCAGAGGAGAGCAAAGCCGGGGAAACAGTCTGTTGGTTCTTGCTTTGTTCCCATCATCCCGGCTCTGCTCTTCCAGCTCTGCTAACCGCTTCTCAGAGCAAGGCAGCGTCTGAGCTGCAGAGGAAGGACAGAGAGCTTAGCTAGGCGTAGGAGCTGACCGGCTCTGTTCTTTGGACCTCATTATTGGCTAGTGGAACACTGGCCCTTCCATCGTGAAATAATCAAGTCTTTTACCAGTGGTCTAATGGGGTATCCTAGATGTACAACAAGGCAGAAAGCACACCCCTTTAGCTATCTCTTTGTGGCTTCTCTGACTTTAAAAACAAAAAGCTCAATAAACAGCAAAAACTGGGAGGTGGTGGCACATGCCTTTAATCCCAGCATTCAGGAGGCAAAGGCAGGTGGGTCTCTGTGAGTTCGAGGCCAGCCTGGTCTCCAAAGTGAGTTCCAGGACAGCCAGGGCTACACAGAGAAAGCCTATCTCAAAAAAAAAAAAAAAAAAAAAAAGCTGCCTGGTGTCTGAGGTCGTTGTCCCTGACTAGAGGCATTTGACATTTGGAGCTCATCCAAACCCAGGAGCTTCTCCAGGATTTAAAACATGAAGCGGGGGAGAAACGACAGCTGAGAAAGGACGGATGTGGTAGAAGATGGAAGTGATGGGAACATTAGCAGAGGCCCTCCTTCCTGCACGCCCAGGCCCTGCTGTCTCTATGCTTTCTGAGAGGCCGCTCCCATCGCCATTCATAGGGGCTTTGACAAAGCCAGGAAACAAGTCCAGGTCTCCATGCCTTCCAACCGTGGAAGGGCTGTGGCGCTCCTGAGGATGATCCCTGCCTGTTGATTACAGGCTAAGCACAAGCAACAAGGCCACATTGCAGAAGGGTAGAGGCTCAAAAGGGTGCACTACCCCCAAAGGCACTTAACCACACAGGTCCTTGAAACTGCCAGGAAATGAGAACAGCAGTCCCCAAAGTCTAGAAGCCCAGCCTGGAGAGCTAAAGCTGCCCTCCACTTGCTTTGAAACCACAGAAGCCACTTTGTGGATGTGAGCTTTGGCTTTCAAGTCTATAAAGTGCGGATGTCTCTGGGCTTCCCAAATAGTAAGTATGATAGCACCTTTGAAAGGAAGATGTTGCAAGCAATGAAACAATATTCAGCCTTCTCTGGTGGGTTCTGGATAACGTTGTTCTCTTGCTAGTGACCGACTGGAAAACTAGGGAAGATGCTCTGAGATAACCAGGTCATGACGTAACAAGTGCTTTTCAACCATCGATCATCCACCCATTCTCCCTCCATCCTGTTCCCACCTGGGCGCTGAGTGTCAGGGCATTCTCAGCCTTCAGTTATACTCCAACCAGCAAAAGCTTTGTTGAAGATGAGCCCTAAATTGGACATGGGCTGAATTGGACTCACAAGTCAGAGCTCTGTACAGTCTGAATCAACAAAGCAGGTAGCCTGGCCCAGCTCTGACAGAAAGGGAGAGACTAGCACTGTCACTTGAGTTATATGGGGACTGAACTTTGGTTGCTGTGACCAGCTCAAGTTCAAGCTGAGCATAATCAAAGTTATTTCTTCAATGAAGAAGGAACCACGATTGGTCTTTGGTTGCTTTTCAGCATTCCCTCTTCTATGAATCAAGGCACTATCTTTCCTCTGTCTGGCTTCAGGGAGATTGGCCCAAAATGGTCTCAGGAGACCCTTTCAGCTCTGCATCCTGGAGCACTACAGGACCTGCCAGGGGTGGGACACAGCGGGACCCCTGAGCTCCGCACGGTGCCCGCATGTCTCAACCCCAACCTTTCCAGTTCAGGGATGATCCTGGGCTGCAAAGGAATAAAAGTGCCCTTCAGTACTTCTTTCCATTCTTCTCAGAATGTCTCTAACACTGGTGGTCTCCAGTCACCACTCACAGCCCTAAAACACACCTACCCCATGGACCACTGGTCCTGATACCCATGGCCTGCAACATCTCTGCTTCGTGGAAGTCTGACAGGCTTACATTTCCATCCTCTCCCTGCCAAAGATGCTTGTCCAGAGGCTTCAAGAAAGGGCAGAGAATGAGCCACTAAGTGGGAGATTTAGAGGCTGCAGCATAGTGCCATGAGGACAAGAGCCGGGCTCGTCAAACACCGGCAGGTGACAGCCTTTTAGTCTCTCTTATAACCTTGAGTGCACAACATTGGCTAGCCCAATGATTCGGGGTAACATTTCACTACTGATTCACACAGGATTCATTAGTGACTTGTTAGCTAGTTACTTGTTTAAGAATATAGTAAATATGGGCTGGAGGGATAGCTCAGCCATTAAAGGCTCACAACCAAAAATATAAGACTATAGTAAGTGTCCATAAATCTACACAAAAACTGGGGCTTAGCAGTGACTATAATATATAATAATGATAATACATATATGTTATCTATACACATAAAAATCATGAGATTATATTAATATAATATATTCTATATAATCATAAGATTCCTACTTGCCTCTCACATACACACCCATGCCCCTGATGAGGTAGGTGGGCCAGTCTCTTTTATTAATTTAACAAAAATTGGCTGCACTGCACCTATTTAATATCTGAGGAACCATGTTAAATGCACTCTGCTGAGGTAAGCACCGCCCATCCCAAAGTCCATCGTGCCTTTCCTTCTTCATGAAAAGGAACCTAAGCTACATGGAGTCTGTTGGGGCTTTATCCTTGTTCTTCAGTTGCTTACGTTCCATTTTTATTTGATAAAGCTTGCAGTTCATTTATTTTGCCTTCAGTGTGACGTTTTATTGTGTGACTGTGTTTATAGGCAGATTCTTAAAGGCTGGCTCAAGACAAGTCTTAAAACTGAGATAGGCTCACCAATGTATTCATCCAACACTATTCAACACTCACTCTATTCCATGCATTGTAGGAAAGTTTGGATGCTGCCATCAACAAGACAGTCACAGTCCCTTGAAATTACAACTTGCAGTTTTGACCACACTTTTTCCTGCCTCTGTTTACAAATGGGTACTGAATGTTTTGGACATCCATGACCAAGGATCCAGCACCTGGGAGCATTGCCCACCATGAGGTATCAGGCTACTTCAGCTCATGATGAGTAGCCATGACCCAGAAAGGTGCAAACTGCTCATTTCTTTATCCCCTCTGTGTCTGGGCTTCTAGCATAATCCCTTGCCTGTCATGGGTATCATCAATACCTGCTGAATTAGTAAAAAACAAAAGAATCCTATCCTACCTACCTTAACTAATGCAGGTGTGTATACACAGGTAGAGTCCATGAACAACAATGAACTAATGGGAAGGGCTTGCTGAGTAGATGCTCTTGGTATCCTACTGCCTCCTCTAGCCTTCCACATTCCAGCAGACACCCTGCCCTGTTTAACCAAAGCTCAAAGGCACCTAGCCAGTCTCAGTCTCCCAAACGCATACAGAATCTTCCCTTTCTCTTATATTTTTGGTTGTGAGCCTAGCCTTTAACGGCTGAGCCATCTCTCCAGCCCGAATCTTCCCTTTCTCGAATAACCTTGCCTCCCCCCCAAACTTGCCTACGTCTATGTAGCTCCTCATCACCTCACAGTTGCTCCTGATGTCTGACCCCTTTCCATCATTCAAGTCACAGTTCACATGTGACCTCTCTGGAGAGCTCCCCCCCCAACTGTTCTGACCCTTTCCCTTGACCTTTACTCTGTCTCCATCCAGACACTCGCTCTTCTCAATCCGTTTTCCTCTGAAGACTTCCCCAACCCTGTGTGGTTTTTTCCTGACTTATTATCTAGGGTAGTCCATCCTCCTCAAGCCTTCCAAGGGATGTAGCACTCAGTTGTCTTGTTTGGGCATCTCTCCAAGTGTGCCGGAATGAATTTTTATTGATCTTTGACTCCAATTTCTTTTTGGATCAGGGTCTGGCACAGTATGGACTTTCCTCACACATCTATTTATTAGTAGTTATTTAATACTAATTACCCTGGTTACCACACACTCAGTCTCAATCATTTTTAATCTGGATCTAAGTTAAAGGAAAAGACTTTGCCAGTTTGTGTGTATTGCCATCTCCCAACTAAGTATTCACAGGGCCAGGTACCCTGGTCTGTTCTCATCTTCATGCTGAAAGTTGTCCCCTCCATCCAGCCTGGTGATGACCAAGGAAAGCCTAGAAACGAGCAGAGCCCAGAGATCAGTTCAGTCTTTTGTAGGCACAAGCCAGATGCTTAACATAGAAAAGAGACCAATACAATTTTTATTTGTCAATTCTAAAGAAAATTTTAAAGAAAAACTTTTAAAGAAACAGAAAGAGACAGAGACCGATAAATGGTGACTGTCCAAACAGAGGGGATGGACAGGCAGGAAAAGGTGGCTATGTGTGAGCAGGGCACCAGAAAACTCCTTTTATTTATTGTCCAAAGGCAGATAATCAATAAAAATCGGAGCCTGTGTACTATTGCACCAGCCATCTGTAGTGACACCGAAGGCCAAATCCCTCCAGCAGACTGCAGACTCCAAAGCAGAAGGAAGGGAAAGCAGGAAGGAGCTCCCCTCCCATCACTGCCCCATATTTAATCACGACAGCAGGTATGTCCCTGTAACCAACCTAGGATTCCCACACACGCAGGGCTTAGAAGAAGCCTTTTCACTCCCAAGTGGGACCAGAAAAGTCCCCAGTAAGAAATGTATAGGATTCTGCAGCTTCCTCCCAACATCACTGGGTATCCACGACCTCCATACATACAGCATTGGCAAGTCAGAACCTGTGTAGAGGCTTAAAGCTCAGACAGCTCTCAGGGACGCCCCACCCTTTACCAGACCTTAAAGGGAGGATCAAGAAGGTTCTGAGATGCTTGAGAGATAGGGAAGGCTCAGAGAATGGTGTAACATTGCAGAATTCTGACAATGGGAGCCAAGGAATACCACAAAGTCACTGTAAGCCTAGCAGCTTACAGTTCTGCTCCAGGGAAAGATTTCCTCAATGTAACAACTCTGCCTAGGCAGGGCAGGGTTTCCCCAGAAAAGCTGTTACAGCTCTGCTGTGTGTAACGACTCTGCTCTGTTAGGAGAAGGTTTCCCTAGTAAAAGTGTTGCAGTTCTACTCTGCTCTGGCTCCAGCAAAAGTCATTTCCGCCGGGGCTTCACTCAGATGAAAATGTCACACCATACAACAAACCTCATTCAAGAGATTTATTAAGAAGGAAGAATCTAGGAGGGTGACTGTTTTAGGTGAGAAACAGCAGCAAACTGAACAGGATTTATTGAGGGGTGGAGCTTTCAGGGTAGTTTGGGATTGGTAGATTTTGGTGGTCTGATTCTGGTGGCATTTTGTGTTGAGGGATTGGTGGCATTTTGAGCTCAGGGACCTCGGGGATTGATAGGATTCTGTGCTCATGGATTGGTGTGATTCTGCAGCCTGACTCTGTGGCAAGCTCAGGGATTGGTACAATTTCAAGCCCTGGTCCTGGGATCAAGTCAGGGTCAGAGTGTTTTTCCTTAGCCATTTTCACCCTACAAATGTGAACCTGGGCATCACCCTCCCTTTGACCCCTGCCTGTAGGAAAGGAGTAAATATACTTTGCATGTGAGGCAGCCCCCATTTCTGATTCTCTACAGCGTCTGTATATTGAGCGCACATGGGAAGTGGGTGAGCAAATGCCTGTGTGTGCGTGTGTTTACACATGTGTGTCACTGCAGAACTAAGGCCACATATCAGAAATGCCCTACTATCCTGGTAGACTTGTTTGAGCTTGCCTGTTTTATTATGTATAATCTACATGCAGCAAAACAACTCAGCAAACACACCTCTCAGTGAGAGTCTAACACACATAAACACTGTGTAGCCAGCACCCACAGCAAGTTTTAGAAATTTCTCAATATTCCAGAACAGTCCACTCTGCTTCTTCCTATAACCACCCCCACTTCCCCAATAGTAATCACTGTTCTGACTGTTAGCACCCCTAAGCTTCACCTTTTGACTCGGTATCAATGTCACTGAACAGCATACTCTCCCATGTTTAGTTCTTTTGCCATTATGTCATGAAGTTCATGCATGGCGTGGCATTTAGCATGAGCTTTGTATTAGTAACTACCACCTTCTTGTGAGGAAGTATTCCACAGAAGCAAGTTAAAGGAGGAAAGAGTGATTTGGCTCACAAATTCGGGGGGCTTAGCCAGAAGTCATGCAGCCGCATGTGCTTAGGCAGGAGGGGATGGGTAGTAGAGACTGGCTCACTGCTTAGGCTACTAGGACAAGGAAAAGAGCATAGGGGAAGTTCGGGGCAAGACACCCTTCCTAGGGACTTGCCTCTGACTCCTCCAGTGAGGCCCCACTTTCTAACTTCCACCAGTTCCCAATGATGCTGTTGTGCTACGGATCCATCAATCAGTTCATTCATCCATTGCAAGGACTTGCTGGTGGGGTATAACTGTGGCAATGCTTTGGACACGTCTACCGATACATAGGCTGATTTATGATTTGGTGGCTCAGTAGATCTACTGTGGAACATAATCACAAAAGAAAAGGGAATACTTACAGTTGGGAAGAAGGTCCCCTCACTCAACTTTCCATTTTTCCTTCAATTACAGGATCCAGACAGTGACCAACCCCTGAACACCCACGGTAAGGTCCCTGGGCCATCGAATCTCAGCGACTAAGCCACTGTCTGACCATCATCCAACAGAAAGTACTAAGGATTCATAAGTTGCAGGCGTTGTTCTAGAAAAGCCTGGTCTCTGAGGCGATATGACCAGCAGGCCCAAAAGGCCAAGAACAGCGACTCCCAATCTGTTCTTTGGACCAGGCCCTGTACTACACAGAATAGGGCTGCAGCAGTGGCACTCCCAAGGCTCCTATCTCACGGAGTTCATGCTACCAAGAACTTGGGACACTGGCACTTCACCGGTAGGAGAGGAAATAGCTGTGAATTCCTGGTTAAAGGGGACAAATGAGTGAATAAATAGAAAACTCCCAATTTTCAGGGTTTCACCCCCTCCTATTATATTTTCTTAAGTCGTTGACACCTACTCCTGATAGCCTATACATCAGCAAGACAAACGAACAGGGAACAAATTAATGGGAACAAATCCGGAAGGCAATGGCTCAAGCCCTCTCAGGTTAACATCTTATTTGGATCACACGTTAATAATGATCAGAAACAATAACTCAGCCAGTGGAAACCGGGCCTCCTTTGTACTTGGGGGTTTAATGTAACAGTCGACCACAAGGTCCCCAAGGAGCACCAAGCTTCCTGTAGCTCTTCCTGTGTGAGCCTCAGTGAACAAACCCAAGAACTGGCAAACCAGAATGGCAGCTGAATGGGCTCCAAACACCTGGTGGGAAGGAAGTTAAAATGAAAGACCTTCGTGGCTCAGTGCCAGGGGATGGCTAACAAACCAGGCTAACTAGGAGAGTCAACTAGCAACAGCCAGGATGAGGGAGGGAAGGAGGGGGAGGGGAGGAATTGGAGCTCCTGAGTGTCAGAGATCAGGAATAACACTCAACACCAGAGAGCCAGCCTGCCCACGTGACTGGGTGCTGGGGTGGGGGCTGGCTGCTGAACACTAGCAGTGACATCCATTTTACTCCGAAAATGAAGTTAATTATGCAGCTTAGAAGGTTGGGGTGGTCCAGAAGTGAGTGGGATAGGAGCCCCTATTGTCACACAAGAGGGAAGGGACAGGGTATAAAAGCCCCTTCCTGGAAGCTTTGTCTAGAAGCAATGGGCAGGACAGAAGGAATAACCACAGGCAAGGAGGCTATTTATGAACTTGAGATAAGTGTGAAACCACATCCCTTCCTGAGGAGGGAGGCAGGTACTCCCTAAGAACAGCCAGGACGCAGGGCAAGTGACACCTTCCAAAGACTGGTTGCTCTCCAAGAAAACAAATCAACCTCACGTCCCCGGAAGCAAGTGTCCAGGAAACAAACCAGGCATTAATAACTGAACAAAATACTGTGTGGGTGGCCACAGGAACAGAACAATTCTGAGGAGTGAGAGCGGGAAGTTTAAAAGCAGGACTACCTAGCATTATTGATGACCTGCTTTGTGACGGGACCTAACAATTTACAGGCCACACTTCATCATACTCACATCCCCACAGCTGGGCTGCAGGGACATTAACTCCCCATTAGGGAAGTACAAAGTTTGATCTTTGTTATCGACAGTCATTGATACCATCATGTATGGGACACAGGCCTCTGACAGACACCAGCCTCAGCTTCCAATGAGCAGAATAAAGGGGGTAGTGCCAGACACATGCCTCGCATGGACTGAGGCAGAATAAACAGAGAGCTGGTGGAAGGAGGGACAGGGTATGTCCTTAAGAGACCAGAGCCAAGAATGGATGGATCATTTGCCATTTCATGGACACTCACTGGGCACTGGCTGTGGAACAGGCTCTGCTCCGGGTACTGGGGACATTTCGTGGACACTCACTGGGCACTGGCTGTGGGACAGGCTCTGCTCTGGGCACTGGAGACACAGTGGCAGTGCACAAGATAGCCTGCATGGTGGCTTCATTTCCATTTCAGGGAGGGATGGGAGGAGAGGAAAAAACACACAAAAAACGTCAGAAAGTAGGTCAGAGATGATAAGTGCCTTGGGGGAAAACAAGCAAGGAGAGAGGATGGGAAACAAGGAATGGTCGCATCCTGAACAGAAAGTTCTAGAATAGGCTCACACTAAGGAAATGTGGAAGAGGGGTTTGAAAGAGACTGGGGGTGAGCCATGTGGCGGGGGAGAACAAGAGAGCCCGCCTACTGCTTTCTAGCCATGCTTCTTGCCCAGCTCTCCTTGGGAGCAAGGTGCCCAAAGTTCACAGTCTGAAGGAAAGGGACCTGAAAAGACCCAGAACCTACCTCTGATGCCAACACCGTCTAAAGTGGATGTGTAATTGTTTGTTTTACAAATTTTAGGCAATGATAGCTTCCTATGTGAACTCCCAAACTCATTCCAACCCTCTTCCGTCAGTTAACAAGTGAATACTCTCCCTAGATAACAGAAGATCACATTCTCTCTCTTGTTCAATGGGTCGGGTGGTGGTGGTGCACACCTTTAATCCCAGCAATCAGGAGGCAGAGGCAGGCGGATCTCTGTGAGTTTGAGGCCAGCCTGGTCTACAGAGTGAGTTCCAGGAATGGTTCTAAAGCTACACAGAGAAACCCTGTCTCAAAAAACCAAAACAAACAAACAAAAACTTTCAATGGCTCCTCACTGCTCTCAGGGTAAATGCCAAACCCTAGCATGGTTTCCAAGCATCTACAAAATGACTTCGTTGGCCTGCCTCCCAACAGGCTTTGACCCACTTCATACTTCAGGACACTAAACACTCACAGCACACACACACACCCTCCATGCCTGTATCTAAACTGGCCCAGAGCCTGTTCCCTGTCTCTTCCTGTATTGAATGAAGTACTGTCTGCTCAGGAAGCCTTCCCAGCATTCCCCAGGTGGTGTCTCTAGTCCAGCACATGCCTTCTTCCACCTGGTAGACTGCCATTTGTGTCCTGCTTGGCTCTTCCCCAGACTCTAATCTCCTTAAAGACAAAGACCATGCTGGGGACACGCTGTGTATTGGACTAACTTGGTGATGGGAACATCACGACACATCTACTCACAAGTAATTATCAGGCCTCTCCTACACATTCACTATGTAGGGAGGCAAAAATTAAGGCAGAGACCTGGGGGTGTGGTAGAGTGCTTGCCTGGTGTACAGAAAACCCTGGGTTCCATCCCCAGCACTGCAGAAACCAGTGGTGGTGCATGCCTCTAATTCCAGCACCACGAGGATCAGAAGCTCAAGGTCATCCTGATCTACATATAGAGCATGAGGCGAGCCTGAGCTACATGATCTTGATCTCCTGCTTTAAAAAAGAAGTTATCAGAGAAGCAACTGGATAAGAGGAGTAAATGCTAGTGTTCTATAATATTTGGGGTGGTGCAGTTGATGACATTTGATGTTCTAAAAGAGCTAGTGAGAGAATTCTGGATGTTCTCAACACACACACACACACAAATAAATAAATAAATATTTTACATGATAAACATAATTACCCTGATATTATCATTATGTATTACACATGTGTTGAAATGTTATACTATACCCCATCAATACAATTATATGTCATCTAAAAATATATTCAATGGGTGGCAGTGGCACACGCCTTTAATTCCAGCACACTCCAGGCAGAGGCAGGTGGATATCTGTGAGTTCAAGGCCAGCCTGATCTACAAAGCTAGTTCAAGGACAGCTAGGGATGTTACACAGAGAAACCCTGCCTCGAAAGGCCAATAATAATAATAATAATAATAATATAATAAAATAAAACAAAAATATATTCAAGATGATAATATATCTTATATATCATGGTGGGTGCCCAAGTACATGAGCTTGGACCCCTCCCAGGGCAGGGACAGGTCAGACAAGGTAAGAGTGACATCCTCTTGTACAAGCTAGGACAAGACAATGGGAGGTAGCATGGGCTGCCAGCTCAACTGAGAACTGGTTACGAAAGATAGGTAAATCTGGGCAAGGGAGGGGAGGTGGGTGAATAATACATGTTCATAAACCTCAGCCTTGCCCACAGGGATAATCTCCCCTAACCAAAACCCTCACCAGGCATCCTGGGGCAGAAGACTGTGCGCCTTGGCAGGGATGGGCTCCAAGTGCTGACTGCACACTCCTCCTGTCTGTCTCATTCTCCTTGCAGATATTGCTGCCTTTCACAAACCCCGCAGCCCCCAGGAGATCTTCAAGAAGGTGGGGATCCCCATCATTGCAGTGCTGCTGAGCCTGGCAGCCATCGCGACTATAGGCATCCTCAGTGAGTTGAGCCCCTCCACAACCTTCACCCCACCCCCAGATGTGACAGTATCCTTCCTCAGTACGTGGCAGCCCCCATTCTCACCCTCGCCCCCTCAGTAAGCCACAGCCCTTTCCCTCCTCCCACCCCCACAGTCATAGGCAGGTGATCTGCACAAAGCGTTGGGTGGGGGATGAATTCTCATGCCTCATGTATCCATCCACCCCTGCCTTGGAGGGAGCCTTCTAGGTGAGAGAGGAAGGTGAGTGCATCCCCCAGCTCTCCCAGATGGCTTCTCTTCCAGATGGTTGCTATACACGTGGCACCCATTCCAAGCCCACACAGACAGTTGCAGAGGTGCCCACCCCCAGCCGCCTCCTTCCCATCTTCTGCAAACTGACAGCTGGTGGAGGGGCAGGGTGGAGCGGGACTGAACAGGGTGTCTGCGCAACCCTACTGTCTGGCAGGCTAGAGAGCGTTTCTGCCTATAAAGAGAAGAGGGGCAGGAGGCACCAGGGAAGAGGACCAGGCAGATGGAACCCTCTGCCCATCTCAGCTCAGTCTTCATTACGGCCAGTGCATTAGCCCTGATGCGGCCTGGGGCAGCCCACTCTGTGACAATGATGCCCATAGTTACAGCAGGGACTAGAGCATAGGAGACAAGATTAGGAATCAGGGTGGGGATCTTGGCTCTACCATTTGAATGAACCCGTGTGTCCATGACGTCCATTGAGTCCCTCTACCATGAAATGCCCTTAAGCATCATGATCAGTAATGAGCTTCCTTGTGTGAGGAACCTGGATTAAAATCCAAAAGTCTGTAGCAGGCAGAGCCAGGACGCAGGGTGTGTAGTGCATGCACAGCCTGGGCATGGCTGGTCTTTGGGGAGCCTGTACTTTGGGGCTGTGAAGACGTTTGCACTAGCAGCAGACACCACCCATTGGATGGCACACAGAGACCCTCTGCTTTAACCCTTTAGTCTACACTTGGCCATTGAGGCTGAGTCCACAGAGGCTGGCACAGGACCCTAGTTTCCCAGCTGAGCAAGTCCTCATCCTAGTAGCAATGAGTATCCACAAGTGAGACCGCCTCGATCCTTGAGAGCCTGGGGTGTTTGAGAGAAGTATAAAACCCCAAATCATTTCTTCGACATTGGCTGGCCCAACCTGATGTGGCAATGTTAGTCAGCTTTCCGTTACTGTAACAAAACCTGAAACCAGCTCCCAAAGGTTGCCCTATGAACTCCAGTTGGACACACACGACCACACAATAAATAATTTCTTTTTAAAATTGGCTGCCAGTCTCCAGCCAGCCTGATTTTCAGAAGACGCAGCCTCTCTCTGCCTGCCTGACCCTCTCTGCCCCTCCCTCATCTGCCTTCCAGTCAAAGTGGTTCTGGACAGATACTATTTCATCTGTGGAAGTCCTCTGGCCTTCATTCCGAGGGAGCAGGTGTGTGATGGCCACCTTGACTGTGCCTTGGGGGAGGATGAGGAACACTGTGTCAGGAACTTCCCCGAGAAGCCTGGAGTGACAGGTGAGTCCAGGGACTGACAGGCAGGAGCAGAGGGAGAAGTAAGCTGGGTTGTGGCCTCTGCCCCATCTTTGTCAGGTTCTAGCCCTGCTGGGAAAGGTCCCCAGAGCCAGATCATGGCACATCTACCTTTAGATCCCAGCACTGGACAGGGCACACATTCCGAAAATGAGGGGACAGGAAAGTATAGCCAGTGCTGGTTGTACCTGCTTGATTTTGACATAGAGGAATAGAGCACATGACCTTTGATATCTCAGTGAGACTAGAAACAGGATCGTCGTGTCACGTAACCAGCTAGCAACTCTTCCATTCATAGTATTTACTGCATCTGGCCTACAAAGTGAATTCCAGAACAGCCAGAGCTACACAGAGAAACCTGTCTCAGAAAAAAAGAAAGAAAAATGTGATCAGCTAGCTTGGACTGACCCTCTAACACTTAGTGTAAAGGAATAGCATGAGACTCCACCAGAGCCAAGATAAAGGAATATCCAATATTTATTTGTGGAGTGCTCACACGTGACAATAAGGTAGAGAGCCACCATGGTTTTCTGCCCAGGGGAGCCCCTGGGAGCTGCGATCAAATCTCTGACCACCATATGGGAGAGAGAGAGAGAGAGAGAGAGAGAGAGAGAGAGAGAGAGAGAGAGAGAGAGAAGACAGAGAAAGACAGAGAGAGCAGAGACACAGAGAGAGACACAGAGAGAGACAGAGAGAGAGAAGAGACACAGAGAGAGACAGAGACAGAGAAAGAGAGAGAGACAGTCAGAGAGAGAGAAGAGACACAGAGAAAGACAAAGAGAGAGAGAAGAGACACAGAGACAGAGAGAGAGAAGAGACACAGAGAGAGACAGAGACAGAGAAAGAGAGAGAGAGACAGAGAGGGAGAGACAGAGACAGACAGAGAGAGAGAGAGAGAGTTTCTTCTCTCCACTTTTCAGTCTACACGTAACACCTCAGACCACACTCAAAAGGACTGCTACCCTAAAAGCTATTGGGTGAATGAATTCCCACAACAACTTAGCCCAGAAGATAGGTAATGAGACCCTTTGAGGGTCTGAATAACTGAATGACTTCTTGTGTATTGGCTGTTATTTAGTAAAGTCAAATGTCCATGGGCTCCTACCACGCTAATACCAATAGACATTTTCACTTTAACTCCTTCTCCTTCCTTCCATGGGGAAGCTACCAGGCCCCTGGCTGAGATGTTTCCCCAAACTGAGCAAGCTACGTGGGCCATAGTAGAGCAATTATGTCACTGATCATCAAAACCCATACCTATACTAGCAAAAGGAGAGGCTGTCAATCATTGTCCCTGGGCAGGTGGTCAGGCTTCCCCCTAGCTGCCATCCAAATTAGGTTCTAGTCAACTGGAAGAACGCCACTTGATGTTGAACATGTCCTCAGTTTTGGGTTGGGAGGAGGGGGCATGGTCTAGAGAGGCCCCACCCTCCAGCTGACCCAGGCTCCTTCCCTCCTAGTCCGACTCTCCAAGGATCGATCAACCCTGCAGGTGCTCGATGCAGCCACAGGAACCTGGGCCTCTGTCTGTTTTGACAACTTCACAGAAGCTCTGGCCAAGACAGCCTGCAGACAGATGGGCTATGACAGGTACCCAACCAGGACTATAGGAGGCTCACCTCACCCCAGCAGCCTCTGTTCTCTTTGGTCTGCCTTCTGTCCTCCCCCCCTCCTTCTCTCCCTCCCTCCCTCCTTCCCTCCCTCCATCCCCCTCCCCCCTCCCTCCCTCCCTCCCTCCCTTCCTCCTTTCTCCTCTTTCTCCCTTTTCCCTAAAAACACAGACATGGGATTCATATAGAACTGTGTCTGAGTCCTAGCATTTTCACTTACAAGTTGCATGAGGGTTAAAATCCGACCTCCAGAGTTAGCCAGAGAAAACAATGCCAATCTTACTAGGGGAGAATGGGGCCTTCCCGGTTCTCTCTCCTTTTCCCTGTGTGAGAAGTTCCTGACCACAACACAAAGCCTAATTTACATATGCAAAGTCCTCTTGGTTAAAATTTAGCAGAAAGGAAGACTGGGGGTCTAGCTCAGGGGTAGAGAACTTGCCTGGCACATGCAAAGCCCCGGGTTCCATTCTCAGCACTGGAAAACAAAAATAGCGAGGACTAGACTGATTCCACTGAGGCCCAGCAGCAACAGCAGCCCCAGCCCTCTGGGTGAACTGTAGAGGCAGGTCCAAATCTGGAGTGGATGGAAGGTACAGGAAGGGTAATTAGCATTACATATATTTATATTCATTTGATCTTGGCAGAAAGCTCAAAGCGCAGTTATTATTAACTCTGTGTTACAAGGAGGTTCTGAAAGAGTAAGTGGCTTGCTTAGGCAGAAGCTGGGGAGGTAGAGGACTAGAACCTGTGCCTGCCAGCACCCCTGATCCCTGGACACCACAAGTTCTCAGTGTTTTTGCACACTGGGGATTCTCTCTACTCGCAAGTCTTCATCAGTGAAAGAAGAAGTGAGACTTGATCCCTCCTCAAACTGAACTTCCTCGGGACTCTAAGAGACTGAGCCCAGAGAGAAGACAGAAATGACTACTAGACAGACATTGCCAGTTCTCTCCGTGATCCCTAAAGCAGCCTAAAGGTTTTGTCCAAGAGATGCTTTGGGCAGCCAGGATGAACCCATCTGGTCTCTGTTCCCTCTGCTTCCTGGTTTTAGTTTCCGCTCTCTCCCCTGGGACCAGGGACTCCCAGCACCCCACCCCAGAAAGGGACACTCTGTCACCTTCATTTCAAAGGACAGCAGGAGGCATGCCCAGCACCTGCTGTTCCCCTCTGCTCCTGCAGCTAACCCCTCCTCCTCTGCAGTCCGGCCAACTGCAGCGTCAGCTGGACTGAATGCTGCAGGCTGAGTCCCGGTTATGAAACCTGGTGGATTTCCTGAGGTTCTTAAGGTGGTAGCCTCCCAGAATTTCTGCCCTTCTGGAGAGCACGGAGGCACTGACCTAACTGGCCTCTGGGGCTTTATGATATCAAAGTTCATTAAATTACTCATCAGGTTGTATTTGGTGAGCAAACATTCACTCTCCTGGGTATGTTTACCACCAGCACCCTCCCTCCTTGCTCAGAGCTCTCTGCTCATATCTATTTTCTTTCCTCTGCCTGGACTGGAAGGAAGCCTTTCTTATTTAGGAACACAAAACCATAGCTGGAACCTCTGGCGTGAGCTTCATTTTATAGAGAAGACAATCAGGACTCAGAGAGACAGACCCATAGCACAAAAGTGACCCACCCACGGTCACACACGAAACTGGTATCAGAGCCAGCATATAAGAACTTGGGTCTTAGCCCGGCGGTGGTGGCGCACGCCTTTAATCCCAGCACTCAGGAGGCAAAGGCAGGCGGGTCTCTGTGAGTTCGAGGCTGAGCTGGACCGATAGCCTCTGAAACAACACAGAGAAACCCTGTCTCGTAAAAACCAAAAAAAAAAAAAAAAAAAAAAGAACTTGGGTCTTGAGGGTGACAGTCTCTGGTCATCCCACATCCAGTGACTGGTTCACCCAGGAAGTGCTTGCATTCTTACTCAAGTGTGAACCAGTCAGCCCGGAATGTGGATTGACCCCAGATCTCTATGCAAAGCTTGTACTGAGTGGAGAGACTTGGAAGAGGCAGCTTTGGTGAAGAAAGGGCCAGAAAGCAAAGTGGTTAGGGAAGGCTTCCTGGAAGAGGAAGATTTAAATCCAGGGTTTGAAAGAAGGCAAACACGGACTAGCAAAAGGGAAGGGAGAGGGTTGCCCAGGCTTAAGGAAGTTCCACCTGCACCTGGACTCCTTTCAGCAAACGGATCCGGGCTTCTCCTATCTTGAAAACACTATCGAAGACAACCCATATACCCTGTCTGGCAAATCAGACATCCACATTCCGGTTCCCTCCGTGCTAAGACGGGAGTTCATCTGGTCCCTTCCGGTTCCCTCCGTGCTAAAACGGGAGTTCATCTGGGTCCCTTTGCTTCTTCGCTCCCCCTGGTGTGAACCTAAAGAGCTGCTGGGCATCCGAGACAGGGACAGAGCTGGGTGTGAGGAAAACAGGCCCCTAGGCCTTCTGCAGAACTCTGGGCTCTGGACCAGGAGTCCCTGTCCCAGAAAGCAAGACCACAGCAGCCTGTCTTGGGCTGAACTCTGCCTTAATGTGGGAATGTTCCTATGACCCAGCAAAGCCAGCCCCGCCCACTAACCCAGCCCACCTGTGTTGCCCCGCCTCCCTCTCTCCCTGGAATGGGGGTGGGGACACCATGCCTCCCTGTCTCCCTGGAATGGGGGTGGGTACACCGTTCCCCATCCATCCAGTCCAGCCTCTCCCCCGCTCACTTTCTCTCCCTACACAGCCAACCCACTTTCAGAGCAGTGAAGATTGGTCCAGACCAGAATCTCACCGTAGTTCAAGTCACAGAAAACAACCAGACACTTCAGATGCAAAACGGAAGTGGGTAAGTGAGGGGATGCCTTCTGACCTACAGAGGCTAGCTAACACCGGAAAGCCACTCATGGTTGCAGCAGGGCGAAATGAGCCAGACAGCAGGAAGAACTAGCCAAGCAGCCCATTAAACATCCAGGGTTATGGAATCCCAATTCTGAGTTCAGAGGGTATTCTCTGTTGACTCTTCTGTTCTTGAATACAATGTGTGCTATCCTGCTCAAAGGCAGAGGAATGAATAAACAATGACCTTCTATCTGCCTGAACAGTCAAGTTCCTCCCACAGCTACTCCGTGTTCCCTAATGAGTTGTCTGGTAGGCAAGAGCCCAAAAGGTGCTTTGTCCTTTTTCCATCACTTCCTCAGGCCAAAGCGGCACCTTCTGATGCTCCAAGGAAGGCTCCCTAGCCCTTGCCTATCACCGTGCCAGAGCACAACTGAATCCAAACAAGACCTGCTGCTAGGGAGCAAAGGCTCCGGGAGCAGCCATCTTCGCATCCAGGACACAGGGCAGATGCTTGCCACAGCTGATCTTGAAAGGGATTATCTGTGTGACTCCATCAAAATCCTGTTCTGTTTGAAAGGGCTGCAGTGTGCCCGGCTGTAACCAGCTTTCTTTTAGGCCAACCAGCTCCCAGGTCATGGCATGGAGACTTCTTATTAGTGATGAGTGCCCGGCCTTACCTTAATGCGTGTCCCACCAGCTCTTATAACTAACCTGTTATCATCAGGGTTTTGCCTCTGGGTGTTTCTTTCTTTCTTTCTTTCTTTCTTTCTTTCTTTCTTTCTTTCTTTCTTATGTTCACTGCTTCTCGTGTCTGGCTGGCAGCTGCCTGGCATCTGGCCCTGGGTGGGTGTGTCCCTCTCTTTCTCCCACATATTTTCTCTCTCTCTCTCTCCTCTCTCCCCTCACCTCTCCCCCCTCCCATACCCCCTCTCTCCTCTCCCTCCTCTCTGTCTCTCTTCCCCCCTCCTAGATTTCTCCTACTTATTCTATCTGTTCGCCAGTCTTGCCTAACCCTCTCCTGCCTAACTATTGGCCATTCACCTTTTTATCAGACCAATCAGGTACCTTAGGCAAGCAAGGTGAAGCAAACGCAGCACATCTTTACATAATTAAGCAAATGCAGTATAAACAAATGTAATTCATCTTTGCCTAGTTAAATGTCCCACAACAGCCGGTACTGCTCCCTTCCCTCCCGGGACTGCCTTTGCCCTGGGCGGGGCTGCATACACGGTAGGAGCGTGAATCGAATTGAACCCCACTGAGTATTAGTGCAGTTCTACAGGCCCACGGTGACGGTCCCGGGGTTTCCCAGTACTGGGGACAGGGTTGAACCAGCGGTGTCACAGGGCTGAGTTCCAGGCTGTATCTCTCTTTCAGGTCCTGCCTCTCCCTGGTTTCCCTGAGCTGCCTCGGTGAGTGCACCCCATCTCTGAAAGTGTGGGGCCTAGGCCAGCAGTGAACAGGAAGGCCTTCATCTTCATTGCTCCTGGTCTGAGTCCCACTGTTTGGTCTTATAGATCTGCATTCCTTCAAGTGGCTAATGCCAAGAACTCCCTCCTACCCTCTGCTCACAGCCAGACCTGAATGTGTTAGATGTTTATTACTGTAATGAAATGTTTGAGGCAGGATAACATTGTAAAGAAGAGTTTTGCTTAGCTTACAATTTTAAAGCCTGGAAGTCTAAGATCAGAAAGCTACCTTGGCTTGTCCTCAAGTGGGGCCCTAAGGCTGGTTGGTGGATCATCACAGAACGAGGAAACAATGAACCAGACAGCAATTCAGGGGTGGGCTCTGTTTCGTTCTAAATTCTCACAGGGGCTCAAGGAACACAAAAAAACTGCTTCTCCCCCAAGAGGGTGGCTATTCTAATGACCTAAGGACCACTAGGCCCTGCCTCTTAAAGGGCCCACTGCCTTGCCACCACCATACTCAAGGCTAAGTGGCCACCTTGAGGGAGGCACACTCAAACCATAGCTCAAGTGTTCTAGGGATTTCCAAGCAGATCACTGCTGGACAGAGCTTTATATAAAGACCATGGGAAGCAGTTCAAAAGAGTTTAGACACCCCCTCTCCCCCACACACACACCTTGCCAACCAAGAAGCTTTGAATGAGTGAGCAAGGAGGCAAGTTGAATGTAGGGTTGGATGACATAGTGTTGGGCAGGCACTAGGCCAGGCAGAGGAGAGACAGTGGGAAGGTTTCCCCCTTGGAAAGATCATGGCATGGCATGTCCACAAGACCAGAGAGGCATGGAACAGAGCGAGGAGATAGCACTGGAGACTTTTTTGCTTTTCTTTAGATTGTTATTTATTTATTTAAATTATGGGGTGGTGTGAGCATGTGCGTGCAACACCTGTGAAGACCAGTAGAGGGCGTTAGAGTTGTACTCCCCGGAACGAGAGTTACAAGCAGTTTTGAACTGTCTGTTGTGGGTACTGGGAGCCAAATTCAGGTCTGGAAGAGAAGGATGTGCTCTTATCCATTGAGCCATCTCTCCAGCCTGACATTGAAGATTTTAACTCAGGTTCAAAGGTCAGATGTGAAAGGTAGGTCAGAAGAAGACAGGCTAGCCAATGGGCAAACTTCCTTAACAGAGGGAAGAAACCCAGTTTCTAGAACTTTTACCTAATTTCCTGATACCAAAGTACCTTGTGAATATCTGTTTCCGTGTGCGGGGGATGGGGGGTGCCTGGGGACTGTTCTGTTTGGCCAGGGCTTTTGGAATTCATGACTGTGCACCCTTACTTGTTTTAAAAAGATAAATTGCAGGTTCAGTGGACACACCCATGTTTAAAAGTTTAAATTCCTAAACACACGCAAAGTGGGGGGGGGGGAGCACCTAATTCTCTCAGCCAATCAAACCAAGCAGAATTAAGAATTAAAAGTCCAGGTTTAATGAGTAAAATGCTCCCAGTGGCCTCCCAGCCCCCAGAGAGATGAGGAAAAGGAAGGGAAAAACCGCATGACCTTTCCTTAAGATGCAGGTTAAATGCCCCGTGGGAGTGGTCTTGAGCATCTCTGGGGGAGGAGCCGTAGTTACTCTGGTTTTCTGGGCAGGGTTTGGAGCAAGAGCCCTCCCTCCACCTCGCAGAGCTCCACCCATCCAGGGTTTCAGGGAAACCTGTGGTATCACACTGGTTATCTTTCCAGTGGATGATTCAGAACTGGCGTGGGTGGGCGCTCCCCATCCAGTACCATTCCTGAGGGCCCTGCTCCAGGGCTCTGCAGGGTGAGAGGCTTCCCCAGAAACCTGACTTCTCCCTCTTCCCTTTCTCTCCATCGGGTCCAGAATGTGGAAGAAGCCTGAAGACTCCGCGTGTGGTGGGCGGGGTGGAGGCTTCCGTGGATTCTTGGCCGTGGCAGGTCAGCATCCAGTATGACAGGCAGCACACCTGTGGTGGGAGCATCCTGGATCCCCACTGGATCCTCACAGCGGCCCACTGCTTCAGGTACGACTCCTAGCTATGAGGAGGCCAGGAGGGACCGAGGCCGTGGAGGGGCCAGCCTCCTGACTTGCTTCCTGACTATGGCTCCCCTGAAAACCATTGCTGGGGTGCAGCAAGAAAGTACTGGCCACGATGTCCTCACTAGGTACTGGGAGCCTGTGCAGAGAGCAGCGGTCTCCAAGGTTGACCTCCGTCGGGTGAAAAGCCTCAGGAACCCAGGGTCCTCACCCCCAGGGTGCCCATACCACTTTGCTACAGAGATTCTCCCCACACATCTGTGCTCCCAAGAGCTTGACTCTTCCTTGCCAGTCTTCCAGTAGATGGCCCCCAGAGTCTAGAGTCACTGAACCAAGTGTAGATTGTCATTTGGTCCAGAGGACAGAGCGAGCTGGCCAGGCCTTAGGAAAGGGTTACACTCAGGCCCTCTTCACTTCATTCATCTGTTTCATTCAGCATCCGGTGAGTACCAAGAACCACCCCCCTTCAGATCCTGTGCATCGCATAGACCCCCATCATCACCTTCAAGGCGTCTTGGTCTAGCTCAGGGGTTTTCACCTTTTTGAGATGGACTAGAGCTCTAAATTCACTCTTGAGGGAAGCTCCCTGTGTACAGGCCTGGCAGGGAGAAGAATGGACGTAAACCCATGACTCAACAGACCACAATGCAAGTAGCATAGACAAGAGCAAGGGTAGGAGAGAGCCTGGCAGGACTCCAAGACCCAGAAATGGGGCGGCCTCTTCCCGACCCTCCAGGTCGAAGTTTGCTTGGGTCCTTTTAATGAAGAAAAGGAATCACATCTCCTCTTATAACCTGGTCAGGAAGGTGGCCCCTCAGACCGCTCGTCTCCACCACTTCTACGCCCACTGTGCGCTTTGGCAGAGCATCCACCGACCTGGAGGCCTAGCCCCAGGCAAGGCCTCAGTGTGACTGCCTTCCCCTGATCTAGCCATCCCCATCCTTAGGAAGCACCTTGATGTGTCCAACTGGAAGGTGAGGGCTGGCTCAGAGAAACTGGGCCACACTCCGTCCTTGCCTGTGGCCAAGATCTTCGTCACCAAGCACAATGCCCTGCACCCCAAAGAGAAGGACATTGCCCTCATCAAGCTGCAGGTGCCACTCACATTCTCAGGTGAGAGGTGGTCCCCGGGAACGGAGCCCCTCAGATCCCCCTTATTCCCACTCTGCCGAGCAGCCTTTGGACACATCATGTTCCTTCTCAAGACTACAGCTTGCCCGCGGTGTCCAGCTAATGTATCATCCCCACATCTCTGGTGCCAGGGGACCTGCCGTAACTGTCAGCTAACATTCACACCTTCCCCTGTCAGAGATTCCTCCAAGTCTGTTTGCTCTATTTGGAAGATCTAAGTTCTTGAAGTCGTTAGGGCCTTTTTAAAAGAATCGTCCAGTCCCTTCCTTACCCCTGATCGATGCTCAAGACTCCATACGATAACCCTGCCAAAGGTTACTGTGCCTCTGCTTGCACTCCTCCAGGAACAAGGAACCTAGTATTTCCTGGGTTTTTCTTTGTGTGTGTTTGTGTGTGTGAGTCTGTGCATGTGTCAGAAGACAGAAAGGGTGGGGACGGGAGGTCGAGGGACGCCCAAGTGCTGTCTGCAGTTCCAGACCACAGAGGGAGGCTGGGTAGGCGAGTTTGAGCATGCTCGGAGCTGGAGAATGAGAACAGTTGTCTGAACTGCAGAGAGTGGTCTCTAGAGGTGTAGTATCTGAACCTGGGGTGACTTAGGACAGAGAAAAACATTAGCTTGGTTTATGAGAGTGGGGTGATGGAGAGTGAGGTTAAGGGTGTGGACTCCAGATTAACTAGTTTAGATACTGAGGGCCTCTCTGACAAATGGTTTGTTCTCTCTAGGAATCAGCTGAACTAGTCTCACGTAGACCAGCATGACCCCCAAGACATAAAAGCACAAAATACAGAGAATAATTTTTTTAAAAACCCTAATATAGGATCTCCCTCTCTCTTCCTGGCAGATACTGTCAGGCCCATATGCCTGCCTTTCCCTGATGAAGAGCTCACCCCAGGCACACCACTTTGGGTCATTGGATGGGGTTTTACAGAGCAAAATGGAGGTAAGTCTTGGGCTCAAGACCTTAGAGACCTTGAATGGTGGTATCTTATTACTACCCACCCCCCATCAGTAATAAGAAAGACAAGCATCCTTCAGAAAAGCCCACCCTGGCTACCAGGCATCAAAGAGTGTTGGTGGCCCAGAACATTACTCTGGGCTGAGGGTAGAGGTGAGAATAAGGAAATACGTTTTCAACCTCCCAGGGACAATGTCTGACGTGCTGCTGCAGGCCTCAGTCCAGGTCATTGACAGCACCCGGTGCAATGCAGAGGATGCCTACCAGGGGGAAGTCACTGCTGAGATGGTGTGTGCGGGTACCCCACAAGGTGGCGTGGACGCCTGCCAGGTGGGTCCTCCAGAGACCCTGGGGAGTTCTGTGAGTAGGGATGTATGTAGGTCTTGGAGAGATGTGAAGACCAACAAACTGGATGCCCACATGAAGTCTTGCAGATTGTAATGTTCTGTTAGTGGTAATGGCGGGCAGAAGCACAGTCTGATAAAGACAGAAGAATGGATGAGTGGGCAGATGGATGGATGGGGCTTCATGAGCAGAAAGAATTTAAGTGTATATTTCACACATAAAGGTGGCATTGCCACCTTCTCCTCGAACCCTCACTTCCCATCATCTGTGATCCCTTTGAGGACAATGACCCCCGGTCTCTTTTCTCTGTGACTACCCCTAACTGCTGTCCTTTACTAGGAAAAAATCATCTCATGCTAAGTGAGCTTCACATGTCCCCTCTTCCTGTCTCCACGGCCACCAGGACTTCCCAGCGATTCCCATGTGTCTTGTTACCACCCCATATGTCCAGAGACTCTTTGGAGCTATTTTTATTCAAATTTCTCAACCTACTCCCATCCCCCAACACTAAAACCCTCATTCAAGAATGAGCTGTCTCTGCCATCTCTTTTAGGCCATGAACAGTAGATTTAGAGAGAGTGTCTGCCCTCCTTGAACCCATGGTGGCCTCAGAGAGGATATGCGTTACTGAGCTCAGAGAGAGGCAGTCAGTGTGTTTTTCACCACTTTATTTTGTCATCTGCTCACTTATTGTCTCTGCCTACCTATTTGTTTGTGAGCTTCCTGGGGTGGGAGTGGGGGGACAAGACTCTTTTTTCCCGGTTAATTGAACCTCAGTTATCCAGAACAGGAGCAACATAAACAAGCACTCGGTTGGTGGTTAGATAGGTGTAGGAACTGCCTGGTTAAGCTAAACTCAATTTGCTCATGTCACTTACGACCCTCTGATAAGGCAGCAGCTTGCCCTCAGTTTAGCTGCCTACAGATGGGTCATTCTTTCCCCAGTAAGAGCACTCAATAATATGATCAAGAAAGAGGGTAGACAAGTCAGCACACAGAGCTATGGAAAGTGCAAGGGAACAGGAGGGGGAAGACCACCCTTAGTCTGGCCTGCCCACCCCAGCAGCTCCTGTTCTGGCTTTTCACAGGGTGACAGTGGTGGGCCTTTGATGTACCACTCTGGACATTGGCAGGTAGTAGGCATCGTGAGCTGGGGTTATGGCTGTGGGAGCCCAACTACCCCTGGAGTGTACACCAAGGTCACTGCCTACCTCGACTGGATCTACAATGTGCGGAAGGTGAGTGTTTTAGTCCCACAGGGAGCCCTCCCTCCATACACCTACCCCGAGGGCATGCATCCTCCTTAGATTTGATTTAAATACCTCTGACAACCTTTTAATCCCAAATACATTTCCTTCCCAGCAAGCTGACAGTCTGAGATCTCTTTATTAAAGCTGAGATTCCTTAGGTTAGCAATATCTGTGAAATACAAGTACCTTAGAGTACAGAACCCTGAGCTTTATCATTCTCTACAACTAACGTTCTCTAGAACAAGACTGCTGGACCTTTTCCAGGGAGATGTTGTTAAGAGTATGGAGAGGGTTGGGAAATTTCCTGGCCGCTGGCAGGAGGTCGAGAGAGCAAAATTATGTCAGGAAAGGAAGATACTATTGACCTTGTCACTACTTTGTCAATTTCGAGTTGTCTCACTTTTCCTGACCTTGTCACTACTTTGTCAATTTCGAGTCTCTGACTTTTCCTTTGCCATTGTCTTTTTTTCATTCTAGTCTGAGTTGTAACACTGCTGTCCACCACATCGGAAAGCTGCTTCCCCTCAGACCTGCCCACTGCCTGACCCCTCAAAGTCGGACGCAGGACACGGGCCTCCTTATACACAACTCTGGTGTTTCCTGCAGTAACCAAGGACCCAGACACACAATGCAGAGGTGCCCAGAAGGAATTCAGATGTGATAGCTCAGCCACCCATGCTTCTCCCATAACCCCAGGCAGACTTGAAGTCCACTGAGGGGAAGCCAGATCATTGACTCAATTCTCAGATGTGTTATTCCGTCAAGGAGGCTCTCCCTTCCACTGAAGGGATGGAAGTCAGCTCTCTCTTGAGAGCCCATATCACTAAGAGCCCAGTCAAGGAGAAAAAGGCCTAAGAGGTCTTTGTCTTCTTTGCCCATTCCCAAAACCACTGCAGCAGGAAACCATCAGTTCTGGTGGAAGATGTAGTTGACTGTTGTCTGTTTTGTAACTGTTACCACATACCATCGTGCTCATGGTCATTAAACAGGTATGAGAAATCTTTGCCATAGGCTTCCTGGATGGCTTGATAAGAATCCGATGAAGACTATCACACCTTTTAGTCTTTGACCTGGTGTTGTGTGACTGTTCCCTGGAAAATTCGACACAGATAGAGCACCAAGAACAAACCAAAGAAATTATTTCAACCAAGTCTAGATTGCTGAATCAATTAGTTTTGGGGCATTGCTTGCAGGTTAATGGGTAACTGCATCACCAAAAAGTCTACCCCTAGCATAGATGATAATACATGAAGGAGATATCATTGAAGATCTCTGCCCAACATTCAGACTGATACACTGACATCATGTCCTGTGTATCCACCTTTCCTGGAAATTGGTGACTGCTTATATATACTTGGAAAGGGCCTCATGATTTTTATGACTCTCTGGGATTCTTGTACCTTGTAGGTTTAATAAACTACACTTTTCTTTGGCTTTCTATATCCTATGAGTCTACCCCCTCTTTCCAGGAAGGAGTATTTCAGTTCAGAGGAAATATAGACAATGTTCCACCCATTCCCTCCAGCTCCTATGTTTATTCGATTGTTTTAACCTTCTCTTCACCGATGTTCTCTGAGCCTCAGAAGGGCTGATATAGGTGGTGTCTTACTTAGGGATTCTATAGCTGTGATAAAACACCATGACCGGAAACAATTTATGAAGGAAAGGGTTTATTTTGTCTTATAGCCCTCAGGTCACACTTCACCACTGGGGGAAGCCAAGGCAGGGACTCAAGGCAGGACCCTGGAGGCAGGAACTGAAGCAGAAGCCACAGAAGCACGCTGCTTACTGGGTTGATCCTCACAGAGTACTTCCTTATGCCACTCAGACCAGGAGTGGCACCACCCACAGCGGACTCGGTCTTCCCCTATCAAACAGCAATTAAGACACTACTCTATAGTCTTGCATATGTGCAGTATAGATGGAGGAAGCATTTTCTCAGCTGAGGTTTGCCTTCGCACTTGACTCTAGCGTGTGTGACACAAAACCAACCAGGACAGGTAGCTATTTTCTTCCACTTCGCTGGGCCACTAAGCAACAATAATTGTTACTTATTCTTTTTTTTTCTTTTCTTTTCCTTTTTTTTTCTGAGACAGGGTTTCTCTGTGTAACAGCCATGGCTGTCCTGGAACTAGAGATGAAGCTGACTTCAAACTTACAGAGATCCACCTGCCTCTTCCTAGTCCTAGGATCAAAGGCATTCACTACCACCGCTGGGTTTGTCACTTATTCTTAACAGCTAGCTATAAGTTTCTATAGTAACAAATGCCCACAGCAAAACAGAAAAAGAAAGAAATTCCCCTCCGTAACTATGGCTGACAGCAACAGCAATCTATGGATACAAACATAAATGTCTAGAAGGCAATTTAATAGGCGTAACAACAGCAATAGCTTCCCAGGACCTTGAAGCCAAGGCAACAATTTTTGTCCTGACTTACAGTACTATGAGTTCTCTCTGGTGCAGCAGGACTTAAATCCAACTAGAAAGAAGTTAGCCACACCCATAATAATAGGTGTGTCACTATTGCACCCTGGCCACATCCTACCTGGCATATTGGTAGTGTAGCATACAGGGTCAGTAACAGCAGGACTGTCAACAATTCTCCCCTGGCAGTCAGGATAACACCTTCTGGCACAAGAAAAGAAAAGGAAAGAAAAAGACATCGGTCAGGGAGTGATTTCCAAATCAGCCTCATCCTCGTCTCTTCAGCCAAATTGTGTGGTGTCTTCAACAATAAGAACTTGCCATCTAGTTCTGGAATGCAGCCAGCAGCAGTGGCAATAGCATTTATGACTTAACGGGTCTCGGGGGCTTCCCTGGCCAATGACTTATAGGGTGAGAATCCACCTCTGGCACTAAGATTCTGTCCAGTAACCTTATGGCTTCTGGGTGTGCCTCTTCTACCCACAGAGAGTGTCTTCACTTAAGCTCTTTAATTGCTGTTTTTTAAGGTTCTTCCAGATGCCTTTCCAAATCTGTAGGATATTCAAGGTTTAGCATTATATAATGAAACTTTTTATAGAAGATAGACAGCCTCTCTGAGGCCCACTACCATCTGTTCCAAATAAGTGCCAACTGGTCTTGAGAGTCAGCAGCCAAGGGCACGGTTGAAATGTCAGCAAGCTCCAATGCCACATGAAAGATACCACCACTCCCATCAGGTGTCATCAATGAGAAGTGTTGGGCATAGCAGCATGGATGAGGGAACACTATCTCACCCAGCTCTCCATAGTTATTTTAGTCAGGGTTCTGTTGCTATGAAGAGACACCATGACCATGGCAACTCTTATAAAAGAAAGCATTTAATTGGGGCTTGCTTACAGTTTCAGAAGTTTAGTCCATTATCATCATGGCAGGGAGTACAGTGGCAGACAGGCAGACATGATGCTGGAGAAGTAGCTGAAAATTCTATAATCTGCAGACAACAGGAAGACAGAGACAGACAGAGAGAGGGGGGGGAGGGAGGGAGAGAGGGTCCGGCTTGAGCTTTTGAAACCCCAAAGCCCACCCCAAGTGACACACTTCCTCCAGCCATTCCAACAAGGCCACACCTCCTAATCCTCCTGAAGTAATGCCACTCCCAGGTGATTTATGAGCCTATGGAGGCCATTCTTAGCCAAACTACCACATAATCCACCATAATTTCCAATGAGTCATTTCATAGTGTCCTGGATAATGCCACTCCCAGGTGACTTATGAGCCTATGGAGGCCATTCTTAGCCAAACTACCATATAATCCACCATAATTTCCAATGAGTCATTTCATATCATCCTGGGGCCCCATTGTGGGGCCATTATGCATCTGCCTGCATTCAGTGAGTTTGGCAAGACTGGCTTACACTGCTTGGCCCAGCCCAGAGCCAGAGTATGCGAAGCCTTGTCACTGGTACTGGCTCCCCACTTCTGTTCTCAATTGATGTCAGAACTGTTACTTCTCCGTCACCACATCTGATTCCTGAGGAAGCTGAACAAACCTTCACCCTTGGTATACCTTCTAGCAGGGGAGAAATGAACACAGCATAACTAGGGGAATAATTGTGTACTCCTAGGACAAGCTTAATGTTTTCACATGTGTTTCTTTTGTTATTCCCTACTTCTTTTTAAAATTTATTTAATTGTCCCAAAGTAGTAGAGACAATTTATGGGCAGATGTACCACTAAAGAAAATGTCTCCCCTTCAGCAACCACTAACAGCTCATATATCCTTAGGGAAAGGTTCGTGTAGGGAAAAGGGGCCAGTCAAAGAAACACACCCTGAGCAGAGCCAAAGAAACACACTTTGGCCCTGCAACCAGAACCAAAGAAATGTACCTTGGTCCTGAAACCAGTGCCAAAGGAACACACTTTGTCCCTGGAATCAGAGTCAGTGAAATAAATGCACCCTGGCCCTAAAATTGGAGCCAAAAAGCTAAAAAGGACCAGAGAAAGAAACACACTTTGGCCCTGAAACTAGAGCCAAATCTGACCTTAATCCTGTGCAGAAAAGTAACCAATCCTAGAGCAGAGCTCTAGCCAATCTGAGCTCAGCACTGAAATCGGACCAATCCCCACCCTGGAAAAACTTCCCCGTCCCCCCCCCCAAGAATCCCTATATAAACCCTGTGTATGTTCAGCTTGCCTGGTCCAGCTGCCTTCCAATAAATCCCTTCAATGAGCTTTGGGTGAAGATCTTCTTTTGCGTCGGTGACAGAGCAGAACAGAGCGAGCAGGGCTGTAACACTTGCCCGGGAAACCTTCCCTTGGCAGAGCAGAGTTGTTACTGTAGCAACTTCACCCAAGAAACCTCCTGCCGAGCAAAACTGATACACTAGGCAAACATCCCCAGCTGGAAGACCCTGTCCTGCCTGAGCAAGCGGAGCCAATACACCAGGGAAGCCTTTCTCTGAGGCTGGGCTGTAAGCAACCTGTGGTGGTCCTTGGCTCCCGAGCTCCAGGATACCTTTACATCTGAGCTGTGTAACACTCAGTATCCTTGGCTCCCGAGCTCCAGGATACCTTTCCACCTGAGCTGTGTAACACTCAGTATCCTTGGCTCCCGAGCTCCAGGATACCTTTCCACTTGAGCTGTGTAACACTGAGTATTCTGTGACTCCTGAGTGCCAGAATACCTGACCCACTCCTGTTCCATCCTGTCCCGACCCATCCCGAAACCCTTACAGTTTGGCTCCATGCATCTACTGTGCTGCCTCAAACTACTCATGCCCTACCATCTCTTCATGATGGAGTATTGTGGGCCCAAGCCTGTAAGGATCACAATTCTTCTAATTTCAAGATAGCAATGGTCATGCCATGCCCAAAGGACAACGTTTTACAATACCCACACTACATTACATAGAGGAAGATGGCCACCCTGGACTGCCCCCTACCCCATCCCACCCCTCAGCCCTCAGCCCCAGGATGCCCCACCCTAAGATAGCTCAGCTTTGATTGCAAGTCTTATTGCCCACAGCAGGACACACACAACTGCCACTACATCAAAGAGGCCATTTTTGTTCTCTCTATTCTTCACTGGGTACCAATTTTGTCGAGTACGTTTTTCAGGGGAGATGTGAACAAATATCTGTTCAGAATATAAGTTATATATTTGTGATACTATAATTATATTAATTAATATCTACATACATAACTTAATTATGCATAAAATAATATATCTTATATCGTGTGTGTGTTCACGCACATGTGCATGTGCACACACATGCGTGTGTATGGCACCAAAAACAATCAAGTGATTAAACCAAATCTAGCTTGATAAAAACTCTTAACAAGGAATTCCATGGGTGAGAAGCATGGGTGGCAACTCACTAAAGGTGCAACACTGAAATTCCCTGTACATCTTGCAGGCAGACCCACTGAAAAGCCCCCCACCCCCGGCCAGCACAGGGCAATTGCTCCCTATCTGTATAACCACAGGAAGGGAACTCATGGGTTACAACTTCTAAGCTGTTTTGTGAGCTCCCCCAGGGTGGCACACTTCATTAGCTTCTCCTCATCAGCCCCATCCTCTCTCCAGACAGGGATATTTCGATTTGGAGGAAATAGCTACACCATACCCTGGGATGAATGTTCCTAGGAAGGCAATTACTTCTCAGTGTGGGCAGAAGTAAACAGACATGGAAACCTGATCTGCTGCTGAGAGGAGAAACAGTGAGCTGCAGACTGGGGAGGCCAGAGTGGGTTCTGTGTGGTTCCCACACAAGCATGTCCCATGGTCCTCCCTTCCCCTCTGCCTGATATCAGCCATGGGACAAAGACAGCAAAGCTGAACCAAGGACAGTGTGCTAAGTGAAATAAGCCTGCTATGAGATGCAGGCATATCTTGTTTGATTCCTCTTATATATGAGACATATAATCAAATTAGTGGACTTCCAGGAGCTGGAAGGAAGAAACAATGAGGAGTTATTATTTACTAAACAAGAGTTTTGGGTTGTTGTTGGTGGTGGTGGTAGTTTTGGTTTTTTCAAGACAGAATTTCACTGTATAACAGCCCTAGCTGTCCTGGAACTCACTTTGTAGACCAGACTGGCCTGAAACTCAGAGATCCGCCTGCCTCTGCCCCTGCCCCTGCCCCTGCCCCTGCCCCTGCCCCTGCCCCTGCCCCTGCCTCTGGCTCTGCCTCTGCCTCTCCAGTGCTGGGATTAAAAGTGTGTGCCACCGCACCTGGCTCAGAGTTTTACTTTTAAAAGATAAAACAGTCCTGTTTGTGATTGATGGTGATTTGATGGTGACAACGCAACACAAATGTGCTTAACACCACTGTATAACATGTTTTAAAAATGGCTAAAACAGTCATTGTGTGTATGCAATTCATACTTCATAAAAGCCAGGCCTGGTAGCACAAGCCTGTAATCCAAGGTACTTAGGACACAGAGACGAGAGAACAACCGGGTCAAGGCTAGCTTGAGCTAAAGAGTGAGCATGCCCAGGCTAACCTGGGAAGCATAGAGAGACCTTGTCTAAAAACAAAAGTTGAAGAAAGGAAAGCTAGAGACATTGTAGGGAAAAGGGTCCAGTCAAAGAAACACACTCTGAGCAGAGCCAAAGAAACACACTTTGACCCTGCTACCAGAACTAAAGAAATGTACCCTGACCCTGAAACCAGTGCCAAAGGAACACACTTTGTCCCTGGAATCAGAGTCAGTGAAAGAAATGCACCCTGACCCTAAAATTTGAGCCAAAAGGCTAAAAAGGACCAGAGAAAGAAACACCCTTTGGCTCTGAAACTAGAGCCAAATCTGACCCTAATCCTGTGCAGAAAACTAACCAATCCCTGAGCAGAGCTCTAGCCAATCAGAGCTCAGCACTGAAATCTGACCAATCCCCACCCTGGAAGCCCTATATAAACCCTGTGTCTGTTCAGCTTGTGTCTGTTCACACCACTCTCCTGGATTCTTCCTTCCAATAAACCCCTTCAATGAGCTATGGGTGAAGATCTTCTTTTTCGGAGGCGATGGAGCAGGGGTGACCCTGGGCAGAGCAGAGCAAGCAGGGCCGTTAACACTTCTGCTGGGGAAACCTTCCCTTGGCAGAACTCTGCTCCCAGCTCTCTGCTCTCTGCTTGCTATCCAGGAGCAGAGCTGAACTGTAGCAACTTCGCCAGAGAAACCTCCTGCCGAGCAAAACTGCTACACTGGGC